GCACTAACACAGCGGAGAGCCAGGCTCTAGAACACCATCGCAGACATCACACCGATACATGTCGCTACTGCGCGTGCAGACCATTGCCGCTTTCAAGCCATCTCCAGCATGCGCCAGACAACCGCAGGTGCACGTACCCAGAAAGACAGTGGCAGGGTCGCCCGTGGACTGGTCATACGCAGAACTGTACTTGTCACGACTATCTGAAACTGCAGGCGAAGCTGGCACATGTGCACCATGATCTTGTGAATCGTCAACACCACCGTACTGCCCGAAAACAAAGCCACCAACGTCAGTGTGATCAATTCTGCTATCCACTCTGCTATCCATCTGAACACTACTCCGATCGAATAATTGCGCAGCCGAGCCCTGCGCCCAGATGAAATCCGTATCCATTTCAACGACAGCCCTTGCCGACGTAGGGCGATGCAGAGAAAGAGCGGCATCTTCATCTGACCCGACCAAGTGGCCTAGAGCAGGATCAGGGGGAGCCGGTCCGCGGTGGCCGTCCTCAGCGACCTCCAGCTTCTCGAACACCTGCTCCGAGCGCACATCGACTGCCATGGCGGTCAGGCCGAGCTTGCTGCAACAATCGGCCTCCGTCACCGCCATTTGGCCCCCGTCGAACTGTAGGGCCACCAAGAAGTCCACGCTCGGATCTACGGCGGCGGTGGCCACGGGCCGCAACAGCTGCGCCTCGACGCAGTGGTTAACCTCCGCCTTCACGTCCATCTTGGAATCCCCGACGCAACTGCCGTCGGCCAGCCTCGACTCTTCGCACGCGGCCCCCCCCCTTTTGCAGCGCAGACATCCACACGCCGACGTCGCACGACCAGGAGGCGAGGAAGTGCTGGACCGCACCCGGCAGGAAGCGGGTGGCCTCCGCGCGCAGCTCCGCCGTAAGGGGCGACCCGCGGCTCGACCGCAGGGAGCCTGCCGTGCGGAGGTTCGGCGCAGCAGACCTCGACGTCGACGCTGGTCTGGGCAGGCTGCCGAGGGCCCAGGCGCGGGCCGCGCCTTGCCGCGCGTAGCCGGCGCGTGCCACGTCCGCATCATAGGAAGGGCACCAACTATACACCAACACCGATCCTGGCCAGGATCACCCTGGGCCCAGGATCGGTGTATACGCCCTCCTGCCTTGCGAAAGAAGGCATATACACCGATCCAGGGCCCAGGGTGACCCTGGGCCAGGATCGGTGTTGGTGTATAGTTGGTGCCCTCCGAGCATCAGGAGCCTCAGCATGAAGAGCCACATCGCGGCGCAACTTGTCCACGGGCACTGGGTGCCTCCCGCGCAAAAGCGAGGCGAGGGCAGGGGCCACGGCGATCAGCCGCTGGACCACCTCCTCGTCCCCGAGTGCCTCCATGCGCGCCTCGTACTTCGATCGGGCCTCAGACAGCTCCCTCGAAAGCCGCAGGACGAGCGCGTCTGCGGACGTCCGTGCCCCCGCGGCTCAGCGCAGGCGCCGTCGGCCACCCGCAGAACCAGTTGATGCGCGCGCCACGGAGGGGTCGGCGGCAGCATCCCGCGCCATCGCGGGTCCCGCGCGTTCCGAAAGCGGGCGGAACACCAGGCCTTGAGCCAAAATGGCTACGGAGGAGGGGGAGGAGGAGGAGGAGGAGGAGGAGGAGGAGGAGGAGGAGGAGGAGGAGGAGGAAGAGGAGGAGGAGGAATAGGAGGAGGAAGAGGGAGGAGAGAGAATGAGGAAGAGGAGGAAGAGGAGGAAGAGGAGGAAGAGGTGAGGAGGACGAGGAGGAGGAGGAAAAGGAGAAAAAAGGACCCTTCGCCGAAGCATTGCCCCTGCTGATCTGTTCCCCTTGTCCTCCTTCTCGCCCCTCCTCTGGCGACGACATGGGTGACGACCACGATTGCCGCTCAAACCAATATCAGAACCCTCCTGGAGACCATCCCTAGGTCACCTAGCTTCGCGCATCGCGCCCCGCGATGCGCGACGCGCGGGTATCTTCGCGCCCTCGCGCCGCGCCGCCCTGGAGAAGGGCGCCTTTCCAACCCAGGCCGCAGTGCATGAAGGGCGATTATCTTAGCGCCCGTGGGAGTGACCCAGGGAACCCTCCCATAGAGAGCAGAACATCCACCCCCATAATAAACACCCGACAAGCGAAGCGGTTTAGTAAATGCACCCAAAGAAAGAAATCGCGAAGGGCAGGGCTATTTAGTAAACGCCCAGGGCTGTGTACAGTAAACGCCATTTGTCGGGGTCGGGGTGGTTCTGAACCTCAAGCACCATCCAGGCCACTTGTCGAGCTACGCCAGCTGTGGCAAGAAAGGCATCCAGCGAGGCTAACCAGGCGCCAGGGAGAAAGAAGATATAGAGAGGAGAGAGCGACGTCGGCCGCAGCGGCGGACCACGACATCGAGAACGACGCAGGAACGCCAAGAGCGGCCTCGGAGGTCGTCTTCGTCGTCGTCGTCGTCGGCGGCGACCTCCTCCCTCCTCCTCCTACCTCCTCCTCCTCCTCCTCCTCTTCCTCCTCCTACTCCTCCTCCTCCTCCTGCTCCTCCTGACCCTCCTCATCATCTCTCTCCTACTTCTCCTGCTGAAACTTCCTCTCCTTCGACTCTTTCTCTTTCCTTCTCCCTGACCCCCTCTCCGACCTCCGTCTCGCCTCCAGCCCCTCCTCCTCTTCCTCCTCCTCCTCCTCCCTCTCCCCTCCTCCCTCCTCCTCCCTCCTCCTCCTCCTCCTCCCCCTCCCCCTCCTCCTCCTCCTCCTCCTCTTCCTCTTCCTCGTCCTCCTCCTCCGCCACCGCCACGTGGCCGTGGCAAAGAAGGGCGACGGGAAGGGAGGGGCCCGTGGACGGGCAAACAGGGGAGGGACCGCGCCTGCGGGCCAGCCGGCGTGCGCAAGCACGCACGGCCGCGGCTGCGCCGCGCGCGGCACTTGGGCCGAAGGCTTCCTCGTCGTCGTCGTCGTCGTCGTCGTCGTCGTCGTCGTCGTCGTCGTCGTCGCCTCCGCCGCCGCCGCCGCCGCCGCCGCCGCCCGCCCGCCCGCCCGCCGCCGCCGTCGGGCTTCCAGCGTCTTGGAAAGCGCACGGCGAAGGCGTTTCGACATCCTCCGCGTCCCGAGTCCGCCTTCTGGCCCCCGGGCCGCGGCGCGGCCCCTCGGCCGCAGGCATCCTGCCAGAGGAGGCACCGAGGATCGAGGGTAGGGGGTCGAGGTTCGAGGTGTTCAAAGTCTTTGCCCGTTTTGGGACCTCCCGCGGGCTCCTGACAGGCCAGATCATGGCACAGAGCAATGGTTGAGGAGGAGAGGGGAGAAGGGAGGGCGTGAGAGAGGTAGGGAGGTAGGGAGGTAGGGAGGTAGGGAGGTAGGGAGGAGGAGGAGGAGGGGAGAGGGAGGAGGAGGAGGAGGAGGAGGTCGGGGAGGTCGAGGAGGAGGAAGACGAGAATGGAAGGATGAGGGGGATGAGGGCCAGTACGCTGCGGCACGAAAATTCGCCGACCACGACGGACAGATGCCTCGACAGCCGAACGCGCTCACTTGTTTTTTTCACCGGAAAGGGGTGCGCACGCGAGAGTTCGTTTCTAGTGGCGTGGTATAGCCGTACGTACTCAGGTCGTTGGGCCGCCGTGTGGGCGCAGAAATCTGCAGCCCAGCTAGGTTGTTTCAGCGTGTCGCATTCCAGCAGGCGCGATGGGCATCTTGCCGCAGAGCGTGCGTTCATGCGAGGATTTCGACACTGCATTGAGGAGAGATTTGAGGGACGTCGATCAAAAAAACAGCCGAACGCGCTCACTGAGACCAACCTCCAGACATGGAGAGGAGACGGGCTGCAGGGGCAGCCGACCACCAAAAACGATTCAAAGAGCCCGGTGCCCATGAGGGCACCGAGGAGGAGCAGGAGAAGCAGCAGGAGCGGGAGCAGGAGGAGGATGAGGAGGAGCCGACTCCTCGCCGACCACCTGCGCGAGCGCGTCGCGGATCTGCATCTGCTGCGCCCTCGGGCCAGGCCGCCGCCGCCGCTGCCTCGTCGTCGTCGTCGCCGCCGTTGCCATCACCTTCGCCGTCGCCGTCGCCGTCGCCGCCGCCCCCGCCCCCGTCGTCGTCGTCGTCGTCGTCGTCGTCGTCGTCGTCGTCGTCGTCGTCGTCGTCGTCGTCGTCGTCGTCGCCGTCGTCGTCGTCGTCGTCGTCTTCGTCGTCGTCGTCGTGATCGTCGTCGTCATCGTCGACGTCGTGGTCGTGGTCGTGGTTGTCGTCGTTCTTCGAGGATCGACGTCCGATGGATGCTTTCGAGCTTTCTTGGTGGGATCTTTTCTTTCAGCCTTGCGGGCCTCCAGAGGCCTCTGCACACGTCAAGATGCCTCCGCAGACCTTCATGAAAATTCCGGTGTCCTCCAGGGACCGCCGTCGCTGTCGCCGTCGCCGTCGTCGTCGACGACTTTGTTGTCTTTTTATTGTTAGTTTTGTCGTCATTTTGTCGTCGCGTGGGTCGTCGCCGACGTCGCCGCAGTCGCCGCCGTCGTCGTCGCCCCTCGACGGTCGAAGATCGAGGATGAATGCTTTCAGAGGGCTGCAGTTCTTTATATTCGCTTGGAGCCTCTAGGAGGCCCCTGGAGGCCCCCACGAGACCTCCACGAGACATCTTGGGACCTACGTACGGGGACCGCCGTCGCCGTTGACGTTGTCACCGTTATCTTAGCCGTGGTCTGCCGCAGTCGCCGTCGTGGTGTCCGCCGTCGTCGTCGTCGTCGTCGTCGTCGTCTTCGCCGCCGTCAATCTTTGTCTCCTGCTGGGCCTCCTGGGGGGCCTTCCTTGCCACGGCTGGGCGCAGCTCGAACAAGTGGTCTGCACGGTGTCTGGGAGGGGCCCTGGAAATTTTATTGCGAGCGGCAGTCGTCGTCGTCGTCGTCGTCGTCATCATCATTTTCGTGGTCGCCGGAGGAGGGGGCGAGGAAGAGGAGCAGGAATTCGGATGAGCAAGGACCGTTTTTCGGCGTAACATATGTCGCAGCGCCGTTTGTTCTCGACGCGCCCGAAAAGACGACGCCGACACCACGGGAAACCCGCGACAGAAACTGCGTCGCGCGCCCCGGCAAACGAAGCCAGCACCGCGGCAAATCCCACGGTAAACCCGCCTCGCCCGAGGTGGAGTTTGCCCTGGTGGCCGCGGCGCCCTCCCCAAGATGGAAGGCCGCGCGTCGGAACAAACGGCGCGGCGACATCAAAATCCTCCTCCTCTTGCTCCTCCTTCTCTTCCTTCTCCTCTACCGCGCCCTCCTCCTCGTCGTCCTCCTCAATCGTATCCTGCTCGTCGTTCTGCTCTTCCTCCCTCGTCGTCTTCTTCCTCCTCCTGCTCCTCCTCCTCCTCCTTCTCCTCCTTCTCCTCCTCCCCCATCCTCTTGTCCTCGACTTCATAGTCGTCCCCCTCCTCATCCTCATCCTCACTTCCTGCCTCTCCTCCTCCTCCTCCTCATCCTCCTTCTCCTGCTCAATTGCGTTCCCCTCCCGCTTCACCTCCTCCTCCGTCTCATCCTCCTCCACCTCCTGCCCCTCCTCATCCTCCTCACCTGCTACATTTGCCTCCTCCTCCTCCTCATCCCCCCTCCCCTCCGTCCTCCCCCTCCCCCCGTCCACGCCTGTAGGGGGTGATGATGGCGATGTCCGACGTGCTGCACCTGCCATCCCGGATCAGCCGCAGGAGCGCCTCCACCACCAGCTGCACCTCGCCTCGGGGTGCGAGGGGGCCTCCATCGGACCCCTCCGCATCTTTCTCCCCTCCTCGTCCTCTTCCTTCGTCTTCTTCCTGTTTTCAATATAATTGTTATTATTGTTGTGATTCGTATGACTAGTTCGAGTATTAGTATTGGTGCTGTTATTGTTGTTCGTGTTATTGGTAGTATGAGGAGTACTAGGCCGTATGACGAGTATGACTTTTAGCGTGCCGACGGTTACGAACTAGAAGTATTACTAATACTAGCTTCCGCAGCATCAGTCGTATTACTTATGATATCAGTAGTCGTAGTAGTAGTAGTAGTAGTAGTAGTAGTAGCAGTAGTAGTAGTAGTAGTAGTAGTAGTAGTAGTAGTAGTAGTAGTAGTAGTAGTAGTAGTAGTAGTAGTAGTAGTAGTAGTAGTAGTAGTAGTAGTAGTAGTAGTAGTAGTAGTAGTAGTAGTAGTAGTAGTAGTAGTAGTAGTAGTAGTAGTAGTAGTGGTAGTAGTAGTAGTAGTAGTAGTAGTAGTAGTAGTAGTAGTAGTAGTAGCCGTAGTAGTAGTAGTAGTAGTAGTAGTAGTAGTAGTAGTAGTAGTAGTAGTCGTAGTAGTAGTGTAGTAGTAGTAATCGTAGTAGTAGTCGTAGTAGTAGTAGTGGTAGTAGTAGTAGTAGTAGTAGTAGTAGTAGTAGTAGTAGTTAGTAGTAGTAGTAGTCAGTAGGGTCGTAGTCGTAATAGTAGTAGTTAGTAGTTAGTAGTAGTAGTAGTAGTAGTAGTAGTAGTAGTAGTAGTAGTAGTAGTAGTAGTAGTAGTAGTAGAGTAGTAGTAGTAGTAGTAGTAGTAGTAGTAGTAGTAGTAGTAGTAGTAGTAGTAGTAGTGGTAGTAGTAGTAGTAGTGTAGTAGTAGCAGTAGTAGTAGTAGTAGTAGTAGTAGTAGTAGTCGTAGTAGTAGTAGTAGTAGTAGTAGTAGTAGTAGTAGTAGTAGTAGTAGTAGTAGTAGTAGTAATAGTAGTAGTAGTAGTAGTAGTAGTAGTAGTAGTAGTAGTAGTAGTAGTAGTAGTAGTAGTAGTAGTAGTAGTAGTAGTAGTAGTAGTAGTAGTAGTAGTAGTAGTAGTAGTAGTAGTAGTACGACTAGCGTTATTCATAGACATACTCGTACTCTTATTCTTCGTATTAGTACTGTTATGATCCTCCTCCTCCCATCTAACTTCCCCCTCCTCTATAACTGCTGAATATGAATGCTACGCTCCTCTCTGCCCAGATCCTTTCCGAGCAGGGCACGTTGCCTGATGCACACCGCATACGTTTCAGCGTAAAGGGTTTCAACACGTGTTTGTTGTTCTACCAAGTCGTTTTCAATCGGAACGCCTTCGGTGTTTCAAGATGGTGACCCCGCTGCAGTGTCGGCCTTAGTGTAGGATCGACGCTGTGCTCCCGTGGTCGAGAGTGGCGCTCTCGCCCTAGCGTGGGCCAACATTCTGGATCCAAGACCTTCATCGTCGTTGTAGCCCCCCTCCTTTCCTCTCCTCCGCCTTCCCCTGGTCCTCCTTCAGCTCCCGCTCCTCAAACTCCTGCTCCTGCTGCTATTCCTACTCGTCCGCCTTCTTCTTCATCCTCATCCTCTTTCTTCTGCTAACTCCACGCGCTCGATTATCACGCGCACGATTGCCAACTGATGATGCTATATATATATATATATATATTACACCTGAGAAAACCCAATCAGTGGATGATTTGAAAATTGATACGATGGATCTTGAAATCAATTGTGAGATCGATAATGAGATCGATAGTGTAATCGCTAGTAAGGGCGACAGTAGGGTCGATCGTGAGACCGAGAGTGAAGTCGATTCAATGAGATCGACAGTGAGATCGATCGCGAGATCGCTCATGCGATCTCTAGTGAGATCGCTTGTCAGATTGATAGTGAGATCGACTGTGAGATCGATGGTGAGATCGATCGAGAAATCGGTCATGAGATCGATGGTGAGACCGATCGATAAGAAGATCGACCAAGAACCCGGGAACCCGGGAACCTCGCCGCCCTCCGAAATCGGCCCGGAACCGGGAACTGGGAACCCGGGAACCCGGAACTGGGCACCCGGGAACCCGGGAACCCAGCCTGCCACCAAAATCGGCGGGGAACTTTCGCCAAATCCTTCAACTTCCGCCAGGACCACTTCAGTGCAAGCACTGATTGGGGAATATATATATATATATATAAATAGATATGCTTGTTTCCCATTGTACCGTCCCCTGCCCTTCACAATGTGCGCGCTCAATCTGCAGCGTTGGCCACATTGAACGCTTTCCATGGATCCTCCGCCCAAAGCAACGCTGCTCTCACCGCGGCGCTGGCCGCACTCTTGCATCAGCAAGAGTGGTGCTCCCGCTGAAACGTTTGCCACGTTTCAGAATTTCCGTCGAGTTGCTGTCCCATGGAAGGACGCTCTCGCCTCAGCGCTAGTCGCACTCCTGCAGCAGCAGCCATTACCACATGTAGAGCTTCCATCCTACGGAACGGCGCTCTATGATCCCTTGTGTTCTTTATAGTTTGCCTCCTCCTTCCTCACAATGATTCCTTGCCCTCCTCGTCGACATCCAGTGCCCAACCTCCTGCCCCCTCCGTCAATGCTCTTCTCTCCTCCACCCCTCCGCCTCATTCATGCCAGTCATGCATGCCCCCCAAAGTTCCCCTCCGCTTCCTTCATGGCCGTCCCATCTCTTGATCTCCAAGGCCCTCTTGGAATAAGTTGCCCCTTCCTGGGTGGCTTTAACTTCGAGCATCGCGCCTCGCGACGCGTGGCTATATTCCAACATTCTCCAATCTAAGCCGCGATGCGCGAAACGTCTTTATCTTCGCGCCCACTTTGGTGACCTGGCTCTTTGGGTCTATTGATTCTTCGAAACTCGGCCCTGGGGATAGAATTGGGCTCAATTCCATGGTGAGGCAGGGGACGGGAGGTGTATGATGTCAGCTATGGCGCGGGCGCCTCAATCTTACGCCCTCCCTCTCTCCTCACCCTCCCTCCCCTCGCCTCACCCCTCTTCCCTCTTCCCCACTCACCTCTCCGCACCTCCCCTCCCCCATCGCTGGTCCCGAAGCCCCGGAAGGGCCTCGAGAGGCCAAGCATGGCGAGCAAATCTCGGGACCGCCTTCCCTAGGACTTCAGCGTTATCGCCTCTCGCTGCCATCTGGCGGACAGGCGAGGAAGAACAGTCGCTTGTTCGGACGTGTGACGTCGAGTGAGATCGAGATATGGCCTCTACCCCGGCGATCAGCGTCGGGTTGCCCCACACGAGGCACAGCAGCAGCAGCAGCAGCAAAAAGGATGAACGACGACGAGCCGCAGCACAAAGGGCACAGCGTAGGGGGGGGGGCGCTGGTTTCACTTTTGTAAGCCGCGGCACCAGGAGCAAGAGCATGAGCAACAGCAGGAGAAAGACGAGAATGATGTAAAAAACTCGCTTTCTTGAGGGGTGAATGTCCCCTAGGGGCTGGGCATTGTGCGATCGGCCGTCTCTGTAGGCCGAAGGTTCAGCAGCGAGCTTCGCGATGCACCTGTTCAGAACGTGATAGGACAGGGAGGAGGATAATGATAATGATGATGAGGAGGAGGAGGAGGTGGAGGAGGCGGAGGAGCAGGAGGAGGGAGGAGGAGGGGGGGAGGAGAAGGAGGAGGAGGAGGATAATTGGTATGAGGAGGAGGAGGAGGAGGACGAGTAGGAGGACGAGGAGGAGGAGGATAGGAATCGTGATGATGACGATAATGAAGAGGATGAGGATGAGGATGAAGATGAGGATGATGATGATTCATGATGATGGTGATGGTGATCGTGATGGTGATGGTATGATGATGATGAAGATGATGAGGATGAGGAGGAGCAGGAGGAGGCCGCCGCCGCGCCGAGCCAGCACAAGATCGGTCGGAGAAACTCATTTCTCTGGGTCACCTACGGTCGGATCTAGGACAAAAAACATCCTTCAAGAACATGATCCTCCGCCGGCCCACACTGAAGAGCATTCGAGGGTGCCCCTTCCCAGGGAAACACAAGAACATCCAACATCATCCAACGAGCACGAAAAACATGTGGACACCCTCTCCGAACCGACCTCGATCATATACCTCGGTCCGACCGTAATTTCGCGCATCGCACCCAACGATGCGCGACGCGCGGGTACCTTCGCGTTTCCGCGAGGCCGCCTGGGAGAAGGGCACTTCTCCAGCCCAGGCCGCGACGCGCGAGGCGCGAGGCGCGATCGTCTTCGAGCCCCTGGAGGAGCTCTCCCGGAGCCGGGCGAGGGCCCAGGGAGGCCGAACACCGCGAAGAACCTGCGCCTTGATTCTCCTAACTCGTCGGAGGTCTGGGTGTGGGTCTCGTCGCCCTGTCCTGCGTCGCTGCCGCAGAGGCCCCATCGCCCGAGGGCCTGGGGCAGGGGCTGGGGGACGGGGGGGCCTCCTCCACGAGCGCGATGCGAGGCTGGGGTGTATCCATGTCTACCGCCTGGGAACCGACGTGCTGGTGCCCTGGCGGGCGGTGGATATAGAAGCTTTTGGCTCTGGCGGGCCCGAACAGAGCCATATCCACCGCCTTTGGAGGTCCGCGAAGATCGATCCCCCGGGCGGTGGTCATGGAGAAAGTCCCGCCTCGGACGCAATGGCGACAAGGTGAGGCATGCTGCCAGCAACGGGATCGAAACTTTTTCGAGCCAGCGGGCGCCCAAGAGCCGAAGCAGGTGCAGGCGCCGGTCGGGCAACGGTCGGGACACGCCGGGAGCACATTGGGCACGACGAAACGCGGGGAGCAACGAGATCGAAACAGAGGGGGGTGGCAAGCCAACTACCAGACCGTTCTCGCCCGTTCCTCCCAGGTGAGAAATCGGATCGGAAATCCAGTCGGAGCGGAGGGGGCGTCGGATCGGGCTGCGGCGGCACGGGGCTGGAATCGAACCAGGTCGGCCGCGGCAGAATGCGCACCAGCGCCACGCAGGCACGGGACCGCATCGGATCTCTGGGAGATGGGAATCTCGGATCGAGCCAGCGACCTCGAGGTTAAATCGGGCCGATTGACTCGGAGAGGGCCCCGCTCCCGCGGGCCTTCGTTCTTCAGGGAGGTGTTGCCCTCCACCAGCGCCGGCGGCATCGTCGAGCGGCGCCCGTCGTCCATCACGTACCCGAACGCGTGTGAGGTCTGGCAGTCCACGAAGACCACCCGCTCCTCGCACGGCCCCAGCCACTGGAGCGACCAGAGGGGGGGAGGGAAGGGCACGGGATGGGAGAGAGGGGGGGACGGCAAAGACTGGGGTCCTCCTTCTCGTCCCACTGGCTCCCCTCCGCATTCATTCCTCTTTTCCGCCACCGCGCCGTAGGCACGAAGTGGAGTGTCCTAAGACGAAGGCTGGGTGAAGGGCACGGTGGCGGGCTGGGCCGAAGGCCTTCGCAATCTATAACTCTCCCCTGTCGCACCGCCAGACGAGTCGGTAGGGCGATCTGGGCGTTCAGCCTGAAACTTCCTCACAAACTTTGACTCCGAGGCTTAACCTTCCAACGGCTACACAAATGGAGGGCGGCCCGTTTTCAAAGTGTGTATAGCCCTCCCGCCGCGCACATTTGTCGTTAAGCTTCAGATAGTTCCAAGGGTGGAGGGCAGTCCTCTCCCCAAATGTGGTTATCGCCTTAGCGCCGCGCACGTTCTTCACAAAAGCATGCAAAACTTAACCATGGATTGATCGATCGCGGTTCCTTGTCCAAGTGGATATGGTGTTTACGGCTTCCGCATAACTTACGGCCCGACGTGTAATCTGCGCAACTCTCACAAGGATTGAGAGCGTCTCCTTCTCAAAATGGGGCTCTCGCTTCAAACTTCCTCGAACTGTACTAAACTTCTTCCACAGACAAGGATGGAGGCGGCTCATTCCCTACCTAGGCTCTTCCTAGAAGGGTTCTTACTTTATTAGCTTAAAGGGCCGGGCAGTGGGGCTCGCCCCGGGCGGTTCCCCCGGCATCCGCCCCGCGGTTCCCCCAGGATCCCCCGCTTTGCCTAACCTAGCTTAGCTTAGCTTAGCTTAGCTTAGCTAGGCTTAGAATAGCTTGGCTTAGCTTAGCTTGGCTTAGCTTGGCTTAACTTAGCCTAGCCTACCTTAGCTTAGTTTAGTTTAGCATAGCTTAGCTGAGCTTAGCGCAGCATTAGCACAGTGTAGCATAGCAACACATAGCCAAACATAGCATAGCATAGCTCAGCATAGCATAGCATAGCGCAGCATATCATAGCATATCATATCATAGCATTGCTGAGCATAGCACAGCACAGCACAGCATAACATAGCATAGCGCAGCATATCATAGCATAGCATAGCATAGCGCAGCATAACATGTCATAGCATAGTCTAGCCTAACATAGCATAGCGCAGCATAGCATATCATCTCATATCATAGCGCAGCAAAGCATCGCATAGCGAAGCAGAGCTTAGCTTACCTTAGCTTATCTTAGCGCATCGCAACATAGCGAAGCGCAGCATTAGCACAGCATAGCATAGCATATCATAGCATATCATAGCATGCAACGCAAAAGCAACACCAATGCGAAAGTGCAGATGTAGATGTAGATGTAGGTGTAGATGTGGATGTAGGTGTATATGTAGATGTAGATACAGGTGTAGATGTAGTAGGTGTGGATGTAGATGTAAAGGTGAGTCTCGTTGTTGTGGTTGATGTGGATGTAGATGCAGGTGTAGATGTTAATATGTAGCTGTCGGTGCAGATGTAGATGCTGCTCTCCTAGATGCTCCAACTCCTAGGTAGGGTCGCACTGGGATAAGTTTTGTCTTGTTT